CAGCAGTCACAGAATCACAGAATCACAGAATCACAGAATGGTCGGGGTTGGAAGGGACCTCTGTGGGTCATCTAGTCCAACCCTCCTGCCGAAGCAGGGTCACCTACAGCAGGCTGCACAGGACCTTCCGCAGGGTCACACGTTCCCATGCCAGCACAGCACTGAGCAAAAGCCACCCTGCAGGCAGCTGGCACAGGGCTGTGGGGCAGGGTGAAGGATGGAGGGGCCACTTACGAGCAGCCAGATGGGGTGTTTCATCTCCTTCAGCACCTGGCAGGCGTTGGTGGTGACGGAGCTCACCCCAGAGCACCACAGCACGGAGAAGAGCCAGGGCTGGTTCACCACGTACAAGTTGACAGAGATGTTGTCCTGGCGGTACTGCCTGCATAGGGACAGCCGTGGTCTGAGCAGCAGACAGAGGGGTGCCGGCACACTCAGCGTACAGCCAGAGAGGACTGTACATCTGGGATGTGAGCCAGCATTTGCAGCCACATGGAGCAACTGTCTGGAGAGCCAGACCCGGGGCAGATTTGCTGGCAAGGCAGAGGACCGCAGCCAGCTCCATCCCCTGCACCAGCCCTGCCTGATAAGGCATGCTTGTCTGCAAGGCTGTAGCGCGCACCCTGCCCTTCCCAGCAGTGCACCAGCACTCAGCCTCAGCTGGCCTTCGCCTCTGCTGGCCCCTGGGACAGAGCAGGGACAGTGCCCAGGCTCCACAGCTCCCAGGCTCCTGGGCTCAGGGGTCACACCTGATCTCCTCGGAGCTCATGTCCTGGTAGGGCAGATTGACACGCAGCAGTGGCTCCTTCTCATTCTGGAGTCTCTTCCGGCCGTAAACTTGCTGAAGGCCTGGGGCTTGCTGTTTGACCTGTTCCCTGAACCCATCCGGCAGCCAGAGGACCTAGGCAAGAGCCAGAGAGCATGTGCAGAGGAGAGATGCTCCAGAAAGCTTGCTCTCTTCTGGTATTTCCTTGCAGGTCCAGGCACACATAGTCTGCTCAGACAGCTGTTTCCTGCCCCTCTCTCCATGCTCAGCT